ACCAGTTACTAACCAGAACTAACAGTTACTAACCAGTTACTAACCAGCTGCTGTACATGATTGAGTTTCTACTGATCAACTGTAAAAACTCGTTTAGATGTTGGTGATCAGACGGAGAACATGTGAGATGTTCCGGTTCTTACAGCGAGGAGTCGGTCCTGGACCCGGACGTTCCCGTTCTGATCCGCTGCGCTGCCAGGAACCACGTGCTTCACGAACACACCAACGGCATCTGAACCGGAGAGACACAGCACACACCGCGGGTCAGGCCTCTTCAGGACTCCTGACCCCCTAAAACTGATCCAGGACCCCAGATCCAGTCCTTTGTGGACGCCTCACTACGTCCACCTGCAGACAAGTGCATTTCTAAGGAAACGTCTGGAAATTTCTTCTGAATTTTCCAAAGCAGGAAAATGACTTCAGGTGATTTACCGAAGATAATTTTACAACTTCAAGGAGATTAATTTTAGTGAAAACATCAAGTTTTTGTTGATTTCAGGAGATTTTTATCATAAACGTTATGATTTCATTGTTTTACGACTTCAGTTCATTTCTCATCATTTTGGGTAAATGATTTTCAGGTAAGTAGGTTCAAAGATTTTAATTTCAGTAGCTTCGAGGTAATTTATTTGATTATTTTAGTTATTTTTGAAGTTTATTTGAAGAAATTTATCATTTCAGTTTTACTTTTGAAATTTCCAGTGAATTTCAGGTACTGTAATCTTTTGATAATTTTTGTTGATTTGCTGCGGTAATACTTTGTTATCGTAGTTTATTTGAAGGAATTTATTTTCATCATTTCAGTTTTACTTTTGATAATTTCATTTATTTATTATGGAGAGCCAGTTCATTCAAAAGTAAATAAATAAATAGTGTTGTTATTTAAAAATTATTAATAAATATTCCATTAAATAAATAAATGTTCCTGTGAAATAAAACATTTAAATAGAAATGTTTAGTTTTTTTTCCCCAAGATTTATTTTTAATTTATTTCTAGATTTATTTATTTAATAATGGAGTTTCATTTTGTGACACTTTTATTTTGTAAAGCTACTTTACATATTTCAGGGGCTTTTATTTTTTAACCCCGTTTTTAATTTTAAGCACTTTTTATTTCATGTTCTTATATTCAAATGAGGGGGCGGGGTTTCCTCCATCTTTCTTGACCAATCACAGCAAAGTGTTCCCCTCGCTGAGCCCTGCTCCGTCCAGCTACCTTCACATCAAGAATTCATTCAAACTTTATTTATTCAGGTAAATCGAGGACTCAATTACAAGAGAGACCTGATTTAACAAAGAATTAACTGTGTTCAGGAAGTCAGGTGGACAAGCGGCAACATGGAGGACATCGAAGAACTCCGAGATGAAATGCAAACATTTCATGATGAAACTGAGCGTTATATATTTACACTTACATCCCGCGTGTGATTCATTTGCAGCGTGGACACGTTGGAGCGGGTCTCCTCTCTGCTGTGAGACTGACAGCTGTCAGAGACTGGGGAAGTGGGAGGGGCTTACGGCCCACTGCCGAACGTGCTTTCATCGCCGAAGTCTCCAGTAACAGAAAAAAGTCTCTAGATTTGTCGCTAGTCATTTATTAAAATAAAAAAAGTCACTAGAGTGATCTGAAAACTCGCTAAATAAAGCGAGAAAGTCGCCAAGTTGGCAACACTGCAGCCACGTCCGCTATTGTGCTCCAGTCCGTGCAGAAACATTGTGCTGCACATTGGTTCCTCTTCAAAAAAGGGTCTGCGTGTGTGTTTTAGTGTGAGAAATACAGTGTGCCGTGTGCACGTCATGAAATACGGGTGTCTCACGGTCAATGCATGACACTTGAGAGACCATCGTTAACATTTAAATGTTTTATTTCATGGGAGCATTTATTTATTTCAAGGAATATTTATTAATACTTTTTAAATAGCACTACTTATGTATTTATTTAATTTTGAATGAAATGGTTCTCCATACACCAACAGCACTGACTCTGCACTGGTGAAAGTCACTAATGATATTCTCATGGCCTCAGACAATGGACTTGTGTCTCTACTGGTCCTGTTAGACCTCAGTGCTGCATTTGATACAGTTGATCACAATATTTTACTACAAAGGCTTGAATATGATGTTGGGATTACAGGAACAGCTCTAAAATGGTTTAAATCATATCTATCTGATAGATTCCAGTTTGTAAATGTAAATAATCTTCATCATACACCAAAGTTCCTCATGGAGTTCCTCAAGGTTCAGTGCTTGGACCAATACTTTTTACTTTATATATGCTTCCATTAGGTAAAATTATTAAACAGCATGGGATAAATTTCCATTGTTATGCTGATGATACACAATTATATTTGTCCATTAAACCCAATAAATCCAATCAGCTACTTAGACTACAAGCATGTCTTAAAGACATAAAAACCTGGATGACCCTTAATTTTCTCCTGTTGAACAGACAAGACTGAGGTTTTGGTTTTTGGACCTGAGCACCTTAGGAATGAATGTTTCAGTCTTTCTCCCTCCTTAGATGCATTAATCTGTCCTCCAGCTCTAATGTTAAAAATCTTGGTGTTATTTTTGATCAGGACATGTCTTTTATCCCCCACATTAAAAACATTACTAGAACCTCCTTCTGCCAGAGTCTTAACTGGAGTTACTGGGAGAGATCATATCTCTCCAGTTTTAGCTTCTCTCCATTGGCTCCCTGTCAAATCCAGAATATAATTCAAAATCTTACTTCTAACCTACAAAGCTCTCAACAACCTAGCTCCATCTTATATTACAGATCTTATTGTTCCATATTTTCCTAACAGAGCACTTCACTCTCAGACTGCAGGTTTACTTGTGGTTCCTAGAGTTTCCAGCAGCAGAATGGGAGGAAGATCTTTCAGTTCTCAGGCTCCTCTCTTGTGGAACCAACTTCCAGTTTCTGTCCGTGAGGCTGACACATTGCCCAGTTTGAAGACTGGGATTAAGACTTTCCTTCTTGATAAATCCTATAGTTAGGGTTGACTTGTTCTGCTGCTATAGACTTAGACTACTAGAGGACAAATTGACCTCATTTCCTTAAATGAATTGTTAAAATTGAATAGTTTTCATTTCATTTGATACTATTTCTATCTTAACATGTGATTCTCGACCTGCCATTGTGTATCTATTCCTACCAAACCTAGCCGGTCGAAGCAGATGGTCCTCTTGTCCTGATCCTGGTTCTGCTAAAGGTTTCTTCCTCATGAGGGAGTTTTTCTTTCCACTGTCGCCTTCATGCTTGTTCAAGATGAGAGTTCAGTGATGGAGTTAAACTCAAAGCTGCTCCTCAGATAAATAATCCATCCATCCATCCATCCATCCATCCATCCATCCATCCATCCATCCATCCATTTTCTTCCTCTTATCCGGGGTCGGGTCGCGGGGGTAGCAGCCTAAGTAGGGAGGCCCAGACTTCCCTCTCCTCAGCCACTTGGTCCAGCTCTTCCGGGGGAATCCCGAGGCGTTCCCAGGCCAGCTGAGAAACATAATCCCTCCAGCATGTCCTGGGTCTTCCTCTGGGCCTCCTTCCGGTGGGACGTGTCCGGAACACCTCACCAGGGAGGCGTCCAGGAGGCATCCTAAACAGATGCCCAAGCCACCTCAACTGGCTCCTCTCGATGTGGAGAAGCAGCGGCTCTACTCTGAGTCCCTCCCGGATGATCGAGCTTCTCACCCTGTCTCTAAGGGAGAGTCCAGACACCCTGTGGAGAAAACTCATTTCGGCCGCTTGTATCCGGATCTCGTTCTTTCGGTCACAACCCAAAGCTCATGACCATAGATGAGGGTGGGAACGTAGATCTATCGGTAAATTGAGAGCTTCACCTTTTGACTCAGCTCTCTCTTCACCACGACGGACCGGTACAGCGCCCGCTTCACTGCAGACGCTACACCTATCCGCCTATCAATCTCACGCTCTATTTTTCCCTCATTCGTGAACAAGACTCTGAGATACTTGAACTCCTCCACTTGGGGCAGGACCTCCTCCCTGACCCGGATAAATAATGTTCAATTATTATTTTATATTTGAATGTTTCTGTTCAGTGTCTGAGACGACTTCTGTTGTGACTTGGAGCTTTAGAAATAAACTGAATTTTAGATTATGTTATAGTTGATTTGTGTTAATCCTTTGATGATTTTGGTTGAATTGAGATCATGTTTTCATGATTTCAGGTGACTCAGCCTCTCGTACCTTGGCTGGTCAGAGAGTTGAAGCCGATGATGGAGATGCCGAGACTCTGGCCGTCCTTCTTGGTGAGAGGAACCTCGTGGATCTCGTATCCTTCCAGGTTCGGCTGAAGCGAATAAAAAACAAACTTGTTGAATAAACACTAAAGGTGATATCACCATGACAACCAGGTAAACTCACTGCTCACCGTCTTGTTGACCGGGCACTGCAGAGGGACTTCAGGTGGTAGAGCAGGTATAGTGGTGATGGGGGCGGAGTCTGGGGGAGGCGGAGCAGGCGGAGCCGCTGACGTTTGACCTTGGAGGTCTCGGGCGATGAGCATGGTCACGTGACTGCCGCAGCCCTGCAGCACCTTGACCACCTGATCACTGGTGAGTCCACTGGTGGGGGTGGAGCCAATACGCAGGATGTGGTCACCTGTGCGGAGACGTCCATCCTGATTGGAGGAGAGGAAAGCTAATCAGAGAAGAGTTTTCCTATCAGAAGTTAAGCAACATGACAAAATAAGACCTTATTAAAGAAAAATATTTCCCGTCTGGGACTCACCCTGTCAGCCACGCTGTCCGGGATCAGAGTCCTGACCACCACGCCGCTCGTCTTCCCGCCCACAATACCAAAACCTAGACCAGATCCATCGTTGATCAGCTCGATCTCCTCCACATGACCCCACTGATCCTGCAGCACAAAGAAAACCCACCAAGAGCTGCTGAGGTCTGCAGAACACGTCTTCCTGCAGGTCCAGGCGTTGAGCACGACCCACCTGGACCGTCGATGAGTTTGTGAAGACTGTGGGAGTGTGTGGGAGTGTGTGGGAGTGTGTGGGAGTGCGTGGGAATGTGTGGGAGTGTGTGGGAAGGTGCTGCCGATTTATTTTTGATTTCAGCTGAAACACGTTTCTCAATAATCCAGGTAGAAAAATCTAAAAAAGTTAACTCTGGTCCTCTGGACGTTTCTTTTCTCTACAGGCGTTGAATAAACTCAAAAATCGGGACGGGTCGACCAGATCTGTTGGACCTCGGCAGAAACACGGAAAGATGAATCAAAACAAACGCCTGACATGTTTGTCAACAACTGGTCGTGACCTTTGACCCCTCACAGGCTGACAGCTCCTCTGAGCTTCATCCATGAGTTTTATTAGAACGCAGAACCTTGTTTTCGTTTGTTCTTGTATCCTTTCCAGACGGACGGTTCTGGCGGGTCCAGTTTTAGATTGATGTACTTCCTGTTGGATTGGGTCACCCTGTGACCCGGACACACTGTCCCTGAACATTCACAGCTGAAGAAAATAAAGAAGTTCCAGGATCCAAACAGAAGAACTCGGTTTCATTTATTGTGAAAGTGGTTCTGATTCATCTGGACCAGTTCTACAGGCTGTTCTGATCCAGGGTCCTGGTCTGGACTCCTGAATCCAGTGCTGACCTTTAACCTCCCTGCAGAACATTTGCAGATCAGACTGTGCTGCTGCTCTCGTGCACGCCGTGCACGCTCTGCACACCTGACGTTTGGACCGGGACCAGAGGAGGACCAGAACCAGTCAGAACTTTGACACTTAAATTAGCAGAAGAGTTCCTGAGAAGGAGAACGTGTGGGAGCGCATCATTAACCCGAGGACTGCAGGATAATGGTTCTGACCCACTCTGCTGTCGGGTCATTATCACACAGAGCTACACTGTCCCTCTTGTTTGGTACCGTCCCGCTGGACTCGGGCCACATACCGGGCCCCCGGCCCTGCTTTGTTTTCATCCTCCAAATGGAGGTCGTGTTTAACGGAGCGCAGGTTTAAAACAAAACGAGGACCAGGTTTCATGACGGTTCTTCAGGTGCGTCTGACCCGAGTCCGTTCTGCCGGAGTCTCCTGACGCCCCCCCACCCCCACCCCCACCACCACAACAGCCCATAAATCAGCTTCTCACAGATGAGTTTACAGCTCGTGTCTGTTTAGTGAATATTACCCAGCAGCCATCAGGGCGGCGTGGAGCCGCTCACCCATGATTGATGGGAGTCCTAAAACCAGATCAGGGAGGGGAACCGACGGATCGGGTCATTAAAGAACTCTGAAGGAGCTGCTACAACGGAACGCAGATGAACCGCAGCAGAAGGTCGACGACCACAAACAGGAGCTTCTTTCATCTGAATGAAAACGCCACGAAAAACCCGTTCCTGTGGGACTTGATTATTTTATTAACTATTAATAATTCTGTTATTAATCCATGAGCTGAGCGTGATCAAAATCAGTTTTAGTGGAGATGATGTTGATCATCTTCATCTTCTCCCTCCTTGTCTCTCCTAAGAAGAACCTCAACATCTTCATTTCTGACACTTCCAGTTCTGTCTCCTGTCTTTTTGTCCATGTCTCTGTCTCCAGACCATACAACATAACTGGTCTCACCTTTGACCTTTGCTGACACCCTTTTGTCTCAAATCACTCCTGAAACTTTTCTCCATCACTCCATCCTGCCTGGACTCTCTTCTTCACCTCTTTACCACACTCCCCAGTTTCCTGGACAGTCGACCTGCGTACTCCTTCCTCCACTCTTATAGGTCACTCTAGGCTCCTCCCTCTTTTGGAAACAGGTGTTGACTACTGCCATTTCCATTCTCTTGGTGAAATCCACCACCATCTGTCCTTCCTGTTTCTTTCCTTGACACCAAACCTGCCCATCACTTCCTCATCCTCTGTTTCCTTCACCAACATGTCCATTCAGGTCTGCTCCCATCACCTCTCTCTCCTCCCTGGGAATACTCTCTATCACTTCATCCAGATCTTTCCAAAATGTATCTTTCTCCTCCACATCACATCCAACCTGTGGAGCATAACCACTGACAATGTTTAGCATCAGACCTTCTACTTCTACCTTCAGACACATCACCCTATCTGACACTCTTTTCACCTCTACTACATTCTTTACCAACTCCTCCTTCAGGACCACCCCTACCCCATTTCTCTTTCTATCCACTCCATGGTAAAACAGTTTGAACCTGCTCCAATGCTGTGAGCCTTGCTGCCCTTCACTTGGTCTCTTGGACACATGAAACATCTACCTTCCTTCTCAGCATCATGTCAGCCAGCTCTCTACCTTTGCCTGTCATTGTCCCCACATTTAGAGTTGCAACCCTCAGTCCTACATACTTCACTTTCCTCTGTCTCCTGACACGTTTCCCTCCCCGTGGTCTTCCACTAACAGCAGCACCCTGTTTGTCAACAGCACCGGAGGTCGTTGTTAACCTGGGCCTCAACTGATCCGGTCTGGTTTCCCTTTGATGAACTCATGTTAGTTTTGGCAAAAGTGTTTTACATCAGAGGTCCTTCCTGTCACAACCCTCACCATTTACCTGGGATTGGGACCAGAACCAGACACACACTGGCTTGTGCTCCCTAGTGGCTGGTTTGATGTTGAACTCTCATAAAACTGAACAAATTATCAGATTTTTACAATAAATTCAAACTAAACTGACAGAACCAGACTCTTATTCTGAAGGTCTGCTCTGAGCATTATTTTGAAACTCTAGGTTCAGTCCTCTTCCTGTTTCCTGCTGACCCTCTTACGGAGTCGTCCTGAATGCCAGAGGTCTGATTCGAGAAGACATTAGGGGGCGGCCATGATGGAAACAGAGGATGATGGGTAATGTAGAAGACCAAGAACCTGCTGAGTCACTGGTTGCCATGGTGAGGAGGGGCAGCACCTCAGACAGAACCAGAGTAAAAAGAAAGCCTCAGACAGTCAGACCACTGACTCAGTTCTTTTTGGGTCATAGAACACGTTTTGGACCAACAGCTCCAGAACTGAAGTCCAAACTCAGGAGGACCTTCAGACCAAGTGGAGAACCGCTAATCCAGACCAGGTCCAGGAAAGCAGATGGGTAAATTCCAGGTTAATGTTTAGGTTCAGTCTGGATGTTGATCTGCGACCCGTCTCAGTCCAGATGAGATAAAAGGTGATGTCATGGTTCCAGAACCCCTCCCCCGTTCAGGCTGACACTCCTCGATCTCCTCTTCCCCAACACTTCCTGTCAGGAGCAACAAGTTCTGACCCGACTTCCTGTCAGCCCCGAGTGAGCGACAGCTCATCAACTGGACTGCTGTGATCCTGAGAACTGGTCTCAAGTCCACTCCCATCTCCACCAGGCTGAAGGGTTTGTGGTTCTGATCCGTTACAGCTGCCTGCTGTGCTCTGATTGACAGCAGGTCCAAAACAACCAGAACTTTATTTTTACACTAAAAATGTTCCCAACAACGCCAGATTATCTCCAACCAGCCAGCAGGTGAGCAGGAGACGCCCAGGTGAGTCCTCAGGGACGTCCAGGTGAGTCCAGAGAGACATCCAGGTGAGTCCAGCTGCTGGTGTGGTTTCAGGAGGTTCCACATCTCGGTTCTTGACAGATTGTGTTCAGGGTCCAGACCCGCGCTGATGTTGTTCAGAACTCTTTGTTAAAACTGAGCAGAACATTTTAGGAGAACCTGTCGGAGTTGAACTTTAAAATGTAAAGTTCTGACAGTCCTCAGAGCAGGTTCACCGATCCGAGTCCCGCTCCAGAACCATCTGCACTGGTTTTATCTCAGCGTCTGTGAAACTGGCGAGATCTCTCAGTGTGGGTTAGCTGCGGCGGCCATCTTGAATGGGACTGAGGTCGTTTTCACACCAGATAGTCCGGTAGACTCGGTTTGGTTCTGGACCAATATTCATGAGCTTTGGTTACATTTGAGCTGGTGCGTTTGCATTCACACTGCACTGTGCAGTCGAGTCAACCAGTTGAAGCAACCAGTTGAACCAACCAGTTGAACCAACCAGTTGAACCAACCTGTTGAACCAACCAGTTGAACCAACCTGTTGAACCAACCTGTTGAAGCAACCTGTTGAAGCAACCAGTTGAAGCAACCTGTTGAAGCAACCAGTTGAAGCAACCTGTTGAAGCAACCTGTTGAAGCAACCAGTTGAAGCAACCAGTTGAACCAACCAGTTGAAGCAACCTGTTGAAGCAACCAGTTGAACCAACCAGTTGAAGCAACCTGTTGAAGCAACCTGTTGAAGCAACCAGTTGAACCAACCTGTTGAAGCAACCTGTTGAACCAACCTGTTGAACCAACCAGTTGAAGCAACCTGTTGAAGCAACCAGTTGAACCAACCAGTTGAACCAACCTGTTGAACCAACCAGTTGAACCAACCAGTTGAACCAACCTGTTGAACCAACCTGTTGAAGCAACCTGTTCCCCCGCTCGCCTGTGGGGGCGCTGCACCAAGAACTACTGAAAGAAATTACACAAAAACCTCTGAAGACACGTCTTCTTCTTCTTCTTCTTTTGTAAATAAAAACGAAGTGGCATCAAGTTTTATCAGTTTTAGGAGTTATATTTTGTCATTTTTCAACAATGGACTCAGCATGAGCAGAAGATGAGACAGAAGACCATGGAGAATATTGTTCTTCACACAAGTCAGCTGACGGCTCCATATAAGAGAAATGTGTGTTTGTTTACCTGTGGAGCGTCTCGGTCTGTTTACATTCACACTGTACTGGAACTGCGCTGGAGTTCTCTTCTACCGGACCCAGACCTAGGTTTTAGCCCGGGCCAGAGTTCACCTTTTTGTTCCATGACAGAGTTCGATGGTGCGTTCACACCTCCCTAAACGAACCGGACTTTCTAGGAAAACGAGCTAGAGTTCGATTAAAGCGGACTAAACAGGGCTGCTGTGAATGCACCCTGAGACCAGAAGGTAATCAGTCCAGTTTCAGTAAAATCCACCCACTGGTTCCCGACATATTTTGCTAACAGACAGAGCAGGTGTGATGTTTGTGGCCTCACCGTGTTGATGGGCGTGGCGAGCGGCGGCGGTGCGTCAGAGGGGCGGTCCCGGGCCACCACCAGCTCCACGATGTCTCCGGGCTGCTGCAGGAGGCTAAGCGCCTGCTGCTGGCTGAGCCCGGGCTCTAACGGACTGCCGTTTATCACCAGGATCTGGTCCCGCTCCTGCAGACGCCCGTCCCGGTGAGCAAGTCCTCTGGGCTGGATGTGTTTGACGAACACGCCCTGACTGCTGCTTCCTGCTGGACTCAGACCCACCACGCTGAAGCCCATACCTCCAGAACTGGGCCGAGCGAGGCTGATCAGCTGCGTGGGGCGGCCCTGCGGACACAAACACACGCACAGCTCAGACGCTTCTTATTCATGTTCCTGGGTCAGCAATGTGACTCCGCCTACCTTAGCTGCAGCGAGGATCCACTTCTGTAGGCGGTCGGATGTGGGCGGAGCCTGATGGAGGAGCGAAGACGAACCATTGGTCAGGATAGAGGTGGGCGGGGCCAAAGGGACGGAAGGCTTGGCAGCGCTCACGATCAGCTGACCTCGCTTGGAAAAGCTGAAGTCTCTGCAGGAGTCGGGCGGCGAGGAGTCGAGCTGCCGAGGAGAGGGGCGGAGCCAAGTTCAGTCAGACAGAAATCATTCAGAACCACCAGGAAGCAACTGACAGAACCAGTGTGACCCAGTTCCAGGTTTAAAGTTTAAACATTTAAAGACTTTTTACAGTTTTACTTTTAATTCAGTTAAAATGTTTCAACAAACAAACAAACAAACAAACAAACAAACAAACATGGAGAATGCAGAAAGCAAACAGGAAGTAAGGTTCTGCAGCTGTAAGTGAGGATGAGGAGGAGTGAGGATGAAGAGGAGTGAGGAGGTAGAGGATGACCAAGAGGAGGAGGAAGAGGAAGCAAGATGAGGATGAGGGGAAGATGATGAGTGAGGATGAAGAGGAGAGGTGAGGTGGAGGAGGAATGAGGAGAGTGAGGATGAGGAGGACGAAGAGGGAGGATGAGTATGAAGAGGACGAAGGATGAAGAGGAGGGAGGATAAAGAGGGAGGATAAAGAGGGAGGATAAGGAGGGAGGATGAAGAGGTGAAGAGGAGTGTGGATGAAGAGAAGGGAGGATGAAGAGAAGGGAGGATGAAGAGGAGGGCAAAGAAGACATGAAGTGAAGGAGGAAGAGGAGGAGAACTCAATGTGCTCCTCTGCAGGTGTGAGAACAGGTGATGCATTAATGACCTTTCCTCTCACATTGTGGAAACGTATCAGTCTGCGGCTGATTCGGGCCGGGCTGACGGAGCAGAACCAGAACCATTTCATCAATACGGGCCGACAAGGCCGTTACTCACAGCCAGACACCAGATATTAAAGCTTGATAGATCCGCAGAGCTGCGCTGGGGGGAGGGGAGCAAATAAATAAAGGAGGAGAGGAGTCCCGCAGCTCCGCCCAGCAGCCGCTGACCTTCGCAGCACTTAGAGTATGAGGCTCGGCGCCGGCCCGGTCCATTATCTTAATGTGGCTGCAGATTGTTTATTGTGAGGACTCCACGTCAGAGCGGACAGCAGCTGAATACTGATGGCTGTGCAGGGGGGGACGTATCCCAGGACAGGTCGCATCTTGGTCAGGTGAAGGGGCGGGGCTCCAGCGGCTGGTCACAGGATGGGGAGGGGCTCCAGCTGCTGGTACAGGAACCTGCTGGTCATTTGAGCCTCTCAGGAGGCCCAACCTGGATCAGAACCAGTCTAACCTGCTGAAGCAGATTCTCATCATTCAGACATCTTTTGTTTTATTTCCAGTGTTTCCCCACCATTATCCAAGGAGGGCGCCCTGCCCTGTCAACAGAACCGAGCCCCCCTCCCATACCAAATCCCTCACAACAACCCCTAACCCAATCCCCATCTACAATTGCCGACATCAGTAGGGCTCCGCTAACACCCGACCACCACCACCATCGAGAACCACAACACTAAGGTAACATACACACTCTAACACAACCCCTGACCCCCACACCACGACCCCCACGCCGTTGATAAACACAGATAAGACAAGCGCTCTCCCAAGGTCACTAACCAAAGAGAAATACTGATAAAAAAAATTTTAAAAAAAACTCGTGTTGGTTTCTGTTGAAGTTTTACACACATCAAAGACGTCAGACATGTGTAAGACATGTCAGAGACACATGTAAGATTTGCGTGACACATGCGCGAGACATGTCAGAGGCACGTCTGAGATGTGCGTGAGACACGTCTGAGACACATCTGAGACATGCCTGAGACATGTTAAGAGACATGTCTGAGACATACGTGAGACACGAGACATGCGTGAGACATGTTGCGTGAGACATGTTGCATAAGACACGTCAGAGACACATCTCAGACATGCGTGAGTCATGTCAGACACATCTGAGACATACGTTAGACATGATATGCGTGAGACCAGTCTGAGACATGCGTGAGACACATGATAC